ACATCAGGGTCCGCAGAGGTCTCCTTGCACTGTGGGGGGGGGGGGGGGGGGCGGCTCTGGTGACCACAGCCCCCTCACATCTCTGTGAAGGGGGTGATGTTGCCTTGTGTACACAGTGACCTGTTCAGTGTGATCCACCCTCCCTTCACTCTTTTGTGTGCAGGACAGCTGTGAGTGGACTCCTCCACTCTGATCATTGACAGGGACTCACTGCCTGTGCCCTCTTTGCGCTGCCTAGAGAGATTCTGACTGTCCCCAGACTCCTCCACTCACTTCCATCCCCCAGTACCTACTGGAGAGGGGATTGCTCTGTTCACAGTGTCTGCAGCTTGACTGAGCCTGTCATACCTGCACCAGATGGTGGGCCAGCGTGGCCCCTCGAAGGTGACCACACACCCTCCCGAGTCCCGCCCAATCACTGCAAGCCTTGATTTGCCAATAGAGCCACTTGATCAGCTACTGGAGACCAGGACCCAAGGGTTGTAGGGGGAGGGATCTGTGTGCGACAAGTTATGTCTGATACCCACCCTGTCCTGCAGCATCTGTTTTGGCACCATCTGCACAGAGTTCACTGCAAGCATCTCAGCTGTCTATGACAGAGCTTCATTTCTTGGACTCCATGGAACAGCTGTAAAAAAAAAAACTCATACAGACAAGCACCCCTATAGGATGGGCGCCTGTAGGCACATGCCTACGTTGCCTATTGTGAAATCCAGCCCTGCACACATCCCTTGTATAGGTGCAACTTTGGGGCATGGAATACCATGGTTGCAGATGATTGGTCTGTACAGGTGACAGCTTCCTGGCAGGCCATTTCACGTGGATTCTGGTCTTAGTTTGAACATGCCCAAGCTCATCACTAGTACTTAATGTCTCTTTTTAAATTCAAGTTTTGTAGGTCTAGAGCAGGGGTTCTCAGTCAGGGTTCCATAAAACCCTAAAGTTCCTCCAGAGTTTGCTAGGGATTCTTTAAGCAATAAGCAATTTCAGACTTTCAGATAAGTTCCCACTGAGACTATTCATCTTTTTAGCTATCTGTAAGGGGCAATTCTTCCTAATGACCACAAGTGTTAGGGCCATTCTTCCCACTGACCATCCCACTAATGTATTATGAGTTGTAGATATAGTTAGCAGAGGTTCCGGAAAGTCATTTCAAGGGTTCCTCTGTGTTGAAAAGATTGAGGAAGGCTGGTTTAGAATAAAGGCAGAAAGCAATACCAACTACATCACTATTTCAAGCAGTAACTCCTGATGTGTGTTCAATAACCTTGCAAGCTACATAGACACATAAGGGTTTCCAACCCCTCTGGATATCATATCAGTGGTGATAGGATAAACTCCCATATATACTGTAATCACTGACAGCTTATAAACATGCACCCAAGCAAATAGGATAGTGTAAAATGTTATGGATTATTTACAAATGCCCATGTACCCTGCCCTATAACAACGGCTTAACTTTAATCTTTTGTAAATTAGGCAATTTTCTGATTAGTAATCATGGGTTATTTTAACATTTGTAAGTACAAATTCTGTTTCTTCTGCATAAATCATATGATACGTAAAGGCAATGGGCTTCATTTGTCAACATTTCAGAAATAAGAACTGTTTGTTTTGGCTCTTATCAATTTATCAGAATGTAAAGTTTCATTTTCTACCTGTCATTTTTCGCTTTATGATGTCTCCACACACTATCCTTAAAGGTCAATCAGACATTCAGTTTAAATACATATCAGGCGCATCAAAATATATAATGTGCAAAGTACCACAGTTCATGAGATGCTTGTTTTCTGTGGGGAAGCAGTAGTCTCACTGCAGAGGTTGGATGTGTCCCCTGCTTAGTCAGACCTATTGCTGTGCAATCAGCCAAGTTCATGCTCCGCATTGATTGGAAATCTCTGGCTTTGACTCAGATATCAGACCTCTGCAAAGGGACCACTGCTTCTCCACGATGAGCGAGGGTTGGACTCTGTAGTATTCATCAAGGCTCTTCTACTCAGGCTGGGGCTGAGAGAGAGTTCAATTAGGCTTTATAATAGAACTTTTTTTTGGAATGGTTAAAACGCAAGTTTTTTTGTCTGTGTTCTAGCGTTTTCTGAGATTTACCTTCACTTCCTTCCCTAGAAGTACAAGAAGAAGAAATCTCTCGCAAGTTAGAGGTAATCCCGTATTACCCCAGTATTTCCAATAGAAGATTTTGACTCACCCTCTCTTCTGGCAAAACGTTTACATTTTGGATTGTCCATCGCTTTCAGTGCTAGTCCACATCAGAGTTGCGCTGGAACACAGACCATGTTCCTGTGCAATTCTTGTGCATTCCCCTGCACTGCGATTTGGCAGCACATTTATATGAATGGGCTGTAAATTGCACTGGAATATATGAAAATTAGTGGATATACTACTTTTGAAAATATGTCACACCAAATCACATGGTACTGTGGTACCATTTTAGCTGCTGCTCACAAACTCACTGGGGTTGATTTACTAAAGGCAAATAGGCTGTGCACTGCAAGTGCACTCGGAAGCAGGGGTGAACTAACCATTTGGGCACTGCCCGAGGGCCCAGGGTCAGCAGGGGGCCCCATGAGATTCCCCTGATATCTTTCATAGGCTTTTTTGGGTGTGGTTTGAGTGTGGGTGAGGACACAGGGGCCCCATGATTCCCTATTGCCCAGGGGCCCCATAAGTTCTCAGTCCGCCCCTGCTCGGAAGTGCACTGAAAGTGCAGTTGCTCTAGATCTGAGGGGAACATACAAGGAAAATAAAAAACAGCATTTTTGCTTGCACATGATTGGACAAAAGAAATCAGCAGAGCTCATTTCAGAGCTTCCCCTCGGATCTAAAGCAGCTGCACTTGCAGTGCACCAGTATATTTACCTTTAGTAAATCAATGCTGTTGCATTTTTCAATCTGTTTGGGGTGCCATTATCAAGATATTGACACCTGCACCAGAACACAAAGGCAGCGCTTTTTGAACACGATTTGGGAAACGCACAAGGGACGCACTTTCCTACAGGCTAGTCTGATGTGAACTGGCCCTCAGTCGCAATGACAACGGTCAGTAGGAGAAATAGAAAGGGTAAATCTTTTCCTTGCTGGGTTACAGATGTCAGTAGACATCAATGGAGGTTATAATCTTCCCCTAATTTATCCAAAACTAAAACAAAAATTTATCTGTAGATCTTGGCTTGCAACGCACTGAAAAGTATATTTTAATGGACAAACACTATTTTTTCAATGCAGCTCAAAGCTGGTTCACAGATGGTTGATGTACGTTACCTAGATGTGCAAAGGAAATGAAGAATAAGAAAAAATTAGTAGTGGGACTTTTCAGGTGCTAATAATGCTATCTCCAGGAAACAAAAAAAGCATAAAAACATGTAAGAAGATAGTTTTTATTGCCAAATTATACTATTGATATGCAGGTAATTAAGCCCAACCCAGATGGAAGAGTAATATATTTCCAATATATTTAGAAAAAAAATTATATATGTGACATATATTTACAATATATTGGCCTACGCTAAGATATTTTAACATGTATTCTAAAAAATTTAAATCGAAATATATTTTCTAAAGGCATATATTTAAAAATATATATTTTTTTAAATATATTCTTCAGATTTTTTTTTTAACATATAAAAAGGTAATTTTAACATATATTTTTACATATATTTGTAAATACATTCCAAAAATGTAGATTAAAAGAAATGCCTGTAGCGGAAAGGAAAAAAGAAAATTAGCGCAGGGCAGGCATGACTAGGCCTAGAGTGGGAAGGAGAATAGAAAGGGTTAAGTATGTGCCAGGGGGTTTGGAAAAGTATAGCTGGGGGTGCTGGTTGGTAAAGGGAGAGCGTGGGTGGGCTCTGCCACACCTTAGGGTGGGGTGTCCTAGTGGGGGGGGGGCGTCAGTCGGAGCTGGACGTTGGTGAGTGAGCTTCCCTCCCGCCCTCCCTATTTTAGTGAGTATTGTGTTCCTCTCAGGGGGAAAGGGGGGTTATTTCGGTCATGGGGCGGTTGTTGGTCTTTGGAGGCAGTTCTTATCTTGGAGGTACAGATAATGGTGTGGGAACCATCGGTGGTATGGTGTGCCCAGGGACATTCCAGTTAACCACAGTTTAACTGGAAGGTGGTGGTACTGCACTGCTGAAGGTATGGTTGTCTCCGAGCTGGTTGGTTGCGGCTGGAGGCCTTGTGTAATATGGTTGTCTGCAGGTGCATTTCAGATCATTTTTGGGGAGTGCCTTCGAGGACCAACAACAACAACTCTTTATGTTTCTGTTATAAGGAATGGTTGGTGTGTTAAAATGTTTGTTAATAAAAGGCCATGTTGGCCATTTTACTCCAAAATTGGTGTCATGTTTTCCTTTAAGTATAGCTAAAAGGGGGGGATTTGGATGACCTATCTCTGGTGCTCTAGTCATGTATTTTCAAAGATATATATTTTAAAATGTATTATTAAAATAATTTTTCAGAATTTTTCAACATATAAAAAATGCATTTCAAAAAATACAGTATATATATATATATATATAATTATTATTATACAGTGTTTATATAGCGCCAAAGGGTTTGCTCAGCACTGTACATTAGCGAGGGGGACAGAACATGAGACAATACAGTACAATACAATACACGAGGGGTTCAATATATATATATATATATATATATATATATATTGTGGGAACTCACTTCAAAGTGGTAGAGCTTTGTTAACGCACACAGCAACTCGCTTTCTTTAAGGGCCTTTTTGCCCAATTTTATTTACAGAAAATGTCCCAGAACATAAAGCTTCCCACGCAGGGATATCCACCATCAAACAAAACAATGATTCAGCCTCCTGGCTTACACTCAGCTTGATGTCTGCCTCCTGCAGACTTCTTGAAGAATTATGGCTCTTGCTCACAGCTGGCCACTAGCACACAGCTAGTCTCTAGCAGCCCCTTGCTGCTCTTGGCTTCCACCTCTCCTAGGTGAAGCCCACCTGACTTCCAGGCAGTGACCTCCTGTCTTCCAAGTGGAGCCCTCCTGACTCCTATCTGCTGGGGTGGGGCCCAGAACTCTGATCCTGACTTTCTGAAAAGGCCTGCACACACCTGTGCAATCAGTCTCCTGGCCATTCCCAAACCCTGGTCCCAGGATTGGAGATTTCATCCCTCCCAGATCTCTTTGAAATCTCCAGGCTCCAGATCCCAAAACAGACCTTACAAACAAAGGAGGAAAGTGAAAAGCCACTTTCCTCCGTATCAAACACTTACCCTGGAGCCCCTCAACCTGCCTTGTTGAGAATCCAGGGTGACAGATCGCCACACTGTCACAATATATAGTGAGAACTAGCATCAAATGAGTTTTTCAGCACACAGCCACTCATTTTATTCTTTTTTAAAGGCCTTTTAGCCCAATTTTATTTAAAAGAAAGCTCCACAACATGTTTCCCATGCAGGGGTATCCACCATCAAACAAATTAAACAAATATTCAGCCTCCAGATTTCTGCCGCTCTGGCCTTCTACTTTAGGCTCACAGCTCCTACAGACTCCTTCCAAAAATGGCTTTTAGCACACAGCTAGAAGCCTCTTGCTGCTCTGGCTTCCTCCTCTCCTAGGTGGAGCCCTCCTGACTCCTGGGCAATGACCTCCTGTCTGCCAGGGTGGAGCCCAGAACCCTGGTTGGGCCCTTCTACAAAAAGCCTGCACACACCTGTGCAATCAGTGTGCTGGCTGCTTTCAAAACATGGACCCAGGATTGGAGATTTCATCCCTCCCAAATCACTTAGAAATCTCCAGGCCACAGGTCCCAAAACAGGCTTTACAAACCAAAGAGTAAACTTATAAACCAGTTTCCTCTGCATTATGAGAACTGCCTGGAGCCCCTCAACTTGTATGGTTGAGAATCTTGGGTTATAACCTTGATTTTCACTGTGACAGGATACCGCATTGCCACAACATATATTGAAATATATTTTTGAAATATATTGAATACGGCCAAAATTGTAGTATTTCAAATATATGTCAATATATTTGGGAAGAATATTTTTAAAATATATATAAAATATATTTTCTCCCACGTGGGAAAGGATAACAGCATATTGGATGAATTTTGTTACAGATATACTTTCAGCAACCCCATACACCTTCCCATATAGATAACCAAATCTGCTGCTTGTCCTGGGTGAAGAGGTACATGCTTTACTCCCTGCTTAGACATTTGGTGGCTGGATTGATTTATAGTAGGAAGCCATCTTAACCAATTTCATTCCCTCACAGCATTACTTTGCAGGCTTTATGTAATCTTTTAGGGTATAATGGTCTGTGTCCTCCCCATATGACACTCCTGTGCCTCATAGCTGAGATCATTGGGAGCTACCCACTGTGGTCTGATGCTGTCCTCTTTACCACAGCTGACCCACAAGAACTTCCACCTATAGGCACAACTATGTTTGTTTTGTTTTTAATGATATATACTGTTGTGTACCCCTTGAACCTCTGAAGAAGCTCAGTTTGCAAAACACGTTGTGATATTTCACCTTTCCTATACTCTGTTCTAATTTTTGCAGTACATGTTTAATGCTGTCTATATGCTGATTTGGTTATCTATATGGGAAGGTGTATGGGGTTGCTGACTATAAATCTGTAACAAAATTCAACCAATATGCTTATATCCTTTGGGGTTATTTACCAGCATTTTAGTATGCTTTTGCAATAAAAACTATGTGTTCAATATGTTTCTATGCTTTTTCTTGTTTCTTTTTCATGGGGGTAGCATTATTAGCACCTTAAAAGTGCCACTACTCATTTTTTGTTATTTTTGATATTGCATATGGGATGTAGTGCTGAGGTTATCAATTATAACCACTACTGATATACAAACATTTAAAATCAAATACACTACATTGTACTGGACTTAGCATTATGTGTTACTATGAATTGTATTAACACACTAGTGTGCATGGAACTTAACATATTCCACTAGCAAGAAGGGCATTCTACTAAGGTATTACTTGATTTTAGAAAAATATCAAAGAACACATTTATTTGTCAGATCTATTAACAAAATTGCAGCTTGTCAAATGTTTGTCCACGTTTGCTCTAAAGCTGGTCATACACCTGGCAATTTTCAATCCATTTCAATCACTTTCAAGCCACTGGCATTCCCCAATAGGATCACAAGTTATCTCCCCAAATTAAGCAGTCTACCACCTATGAATTTAATTGATCTTCAGAATTCAAGTCAAAATTGGACATATATCAATCAAATGCACCTTTTGGTGTGTGAATTTTTAATTGTGAATTGATTAAAATGGCATCAACATTGGCAAATTCTACTGCAATTTTGTCCAAAGCGATCAGATTTTTTCCACTACATTTCATGTCCTCCCTTGTGGTCAGCTGAAGCCGGCATTCTATGTCTTTGATTGCTTTGCGATTTCAGCAAAACAAATTGAATTGAAAGCTTGATCCCTCCATCAAATTCCCAGAGTCCATAGCCAGCTTAAAACCCTCTATCTCAGCTCAACCTTAAAATGCATGCACCTTTATATCTGACCTGATTCAGGTGGACAATTGCAGCATGCTCTTTACATATACAGTTAGGAGAACATTGATTTTCTGGCAACTGTGTCTGCGGCTCCTCCAGATAAAATAGGTGGTAAACTACAGTATGAGAGTCAATTGTTCCCAGTGAGCAAACAAAACCAGTAGGAAGCCAGCTCATCGCTGCAGAGTTTTCAGCTGTGGTAAACAAAAACCGGGAGGAAAAAAAAAAAAATTTCAGTTCATGCCAGGAAGGTTGGGAGTTAACCATTAAAAAAACCACAGCTGGGAAAGTCACCTGCCAAGTTGGATGACAGATCATGCTAATCCACAGTTATAAAGATCTAGCACCTATTTCTTATGACATATAACACATTCTTCACATTACCACCTCTAACATTTCATAAGTACAAATAAACCTGTTTACTACCCCTCTACCCCATAACCTACATGGGCCTCCCACCCCCCTAACCTAAACCAATACCCCAACCACCAGCACCTAGGTGCCCACTTACCTCACTTTAGTGGTGGTGCCCTACCATGGCGTATCTGTGCTGTGTTCACAAATCTTCTTGACATTGCCATGCTTGTGCAGTAACTTCTCAGAAATAAGAATGAGCCATACTTGTACATCTAGAGCAAAGGTCTTCAAACTATGTCTGCTGGCCACTTCTGGCCTTCTTCAAGTTTGCTGGCAGTGGAAGCACTAGAAGAACAGTCACCGGTCCATCCACTACTAGTCATCTAGCAATGACGCTCCCCCAGTTCCATGAGAGGGAACTCTGATAAGCACTCCTGGTTGTAAGGGAGCACTCTAATGGGCACTCTCAGATGTAAGGGTGGACTCCAGTAGGCACTCCTGGATATAATTATATCATTATAAAACTGATCCCAGTATAGAGTATATACCGCCTTTTGTAAACACTATAACTTTCACGTAAACCAATTATTTTACATGTATTGGGATTTTTATCAAAGATATGTCGCAGTATACATTTTGGCATAAATTTATGATGATATTTGATTTTTTTAAATTTTTTACTGGACATGTTTAATAGCAAAAAGTCAAAAATATTGTTTTTTTTTCTCCAAAATTGTTCTGTTTTTTTTATAGCGCAAAAAAAAAAAAAAAAAAAGGCTCAAGTGATCAAATACCACCAAAAGAAAGCTCAATATGTTGCCTCCTCACCACCACCCGCTCTGAAAGTATCAACCCACTGCACCACGACAGCGCTGTGGTGTGTCCCTATACACTTGAGTAGATTGCATTTGGTGTTGGTGGTGCTGCTCACATAATGCGGCATGTAGTATAATTGTTGCTGTAGAATGTGCGTTGCTTTGAGCTGGGGGGGGGCTTCTTTAGGAGGGCAGTGAGAGTACAATAAAACCACAGCTCACCTGCTTTTACCACTCCTTGGCCACCCATGTGAACAAGTCCTAACTATGTATTGATGAATATCTAGCTGCAATAATTGGTTTCTTTTTTATATGCCTGGTGTTTCACCAATATCAACGAACATTTAAAAATCAATGATGAATACTGTACAAGTGTAACAATACAATGACTGTGCATCTCAACTAGGTATTTCAAATATAATTATAATTATACATTTTTTCGACAGCCATAGGACTGCCTAAAATTGTTACAAAACTCAAACTGAATTTGTGGCCTAGCCTAAGGTGTTTTTAAGTTGTTTAGTCAGTTGGCCAGTATCCTGAAAGACAGTTTGTGGAGTTCTGTGCTTCTGCCACCCCCCCCCCTCCTTCCTTAGCCTCCCGCTGATTTCAATGCTGCCCATCAATGATTCTCTAGCTCCTCCCCTGCAATTAGGCAAAGTCAACATAGCAATCACTAGTCTAGCCTTGAGGTACCTGCAGCCATCAACACAGCAAATTCACAGGCTAAATGAGTGTGTTCTGCTCATTCAGGGCACCAGTACTACCTCAATTAAGGAAGCAATTTAGTTCAGACATCATAGATGGAGTTGATAACTTCTGAACAGGTTAAGGAGGAAAAGAATAGCACATAGCTGCCTGCAGTCATGAAATGTTTTCTAGTTTCCATGCCTACTGGAGCCCATGCTGAAGAATGTGCTGGCTGTACCGCAGAACTCAATGAAATGGATGAAGAGAATGTGCAGCCACTAGTATACTGACAAAGGTTAGCAGGGAAGCTGAAACACACCACTGCTGACACTATGAAACCTCTCTGCATTTCATTGACAAACATGCCAGTGTGACACCATTTGCCAGACGGAGTGGAATTCACGGGTCTTGTGATCTCAAAAAGGAGGATAAAAAATTATTATTTATTAAATGGGGGGTTACCTTGGAAACCAAACTAAATCTAATGGCTCTTAAACACAGATATTAAATTGCTTTTTGACAGGTGTAGCTGGACGCCTGCAAAAACCTACAGTACGTTTTTTTTTAAGTTAGCATAAATGTGGCAGCTCCCCCCCCCTCCGTTATTCACCTGTACAGCAAATACAAGATTAGATGTACATAGAGTGTACATATCTCCCAAGATCCTGAGATGAGAAAGAGTGACACCTTCTTTGCTCAAAGTATGTAGGGAAGGAACACACCCCTAATATGTCATCCATCATGCGAACCATAAAGAATTAATGTGCTAAAAATTATAGCTTTAACCAACAAATACTTTTTTCACTTCTACTTTTTCTTCATATGGATTTTCAAAGTAACAGATACAATAATATAAGTTGGATAAAAGATTTAATGTACAGTACCACTCTATTATCACACAAATCTTGATAACAGCATACCTATCTGTTGCACGCACCTGGAAAAATCAAACACCACCAAATATTCCACAACTTATTTCCATTCTTAATTAAAATCTAAATACAGAATATATGTTTGCTAAAGCTCATGTAAAAATCCCCAAATTTCTAGCAAATTGGTCACCCTGGCTAAATGATCTGTCCAGTGACGCTCTCATCACATAGTTTCTGCCTGTCACCGGAATATCTATGGTGAAACCCATCTGATCACCCCCATCTATGATTATATTATGACAATACTTGGCTTGAATTGCTTCAACGTACCTTATGTAGCTCTCTTTTTTTTCTATCTTTGTTTTGGTTGATACCTGGGTCAGGACGCATCTCTTACTGGTATGCATCCTGTATATACGAATATAGTGTGCTACCTAAATGTCATCTGCTGAGAAATGTAATTACAGCAGTTCTAAATGCTTTTATTACTCTGTATCACCTCTTTGTTGAAATCAATAAAATTTTTAAGTGAAAAAAAAAAGATTTAGTGTAGTTAAGGTGTATCTAATGTTGGAACTTTTATTTTGATGAGGCATAAAACCCCTTTCATTTTTTTTTTTTTTTTTTGCTTTTTTTGTTCCGTCTAGAGAAATATA